TGGGAAAATCTAGCCTCATTTTTTGAAATTTTTTGCTGTTCAGCTTGATTGCTTTCCATTATTTGTCTTCCAAAATCACTGATCCATTTTTTTGCATCTTCTCATCTGCTTTGATTCCCTCTGGTGTAGTTTTCATTTCATTTATTGTGTTCAACTCTAATTCCTTTTAATTATTTTTATCTCTTTGTTGAAGTTCTTGTCAAGTTCATCTACTCTTAAGTCTGGTGCATATCTTTATAATCATTACTTACTACTTTGAAGTCTTTATCAGGTAGATTGCTCAACTCTATTTCATTTAGTTCTTTTTTGGAAATTTTATCTTGTTCTTTCTTTTGGAGCACATTTCTTTGTCCTCTCATTTGTTTTGACTTTCTGTTTATTTCTATGCATTAGTAGAAGTGCTACCTCTCCCTGTCCTGGAGTTACCTTGTGTTCAAACATCCTTCAGGTAGACTGCATGTGCCTGGTGGCTTTGTCTAGCTGGTTGGGGGCAGGGGGGGCTCAGGCCAGAGAGTCTGCTTGTATGCTTGGCTGAGGTGTCCTGATAGTGAGGGTGGGGTCCAGAGGGGCAAAGGCTGGAGGAGTCCCAGTGTGTACTGTGTTTGTGCCACTTGGGACTGCCAGATCACTGGTAGACAACTTTGGGCTCAGGTTGGGGGCTGCCTCAGGGGACATCTGGAGCTGGCATGGGAATTTGGACCCTACCCCTGTTAATACAATCAATGTGTGTTGAGAATACAAACAATGTTGCTTGCCAGCACCTCTAATCTTAGAGAGAGTTCTGATAGTTTTATACCACTGTTTTGGAGATTCCAGAGTTAGTAGGTTGGCTTCCTTTACTTACAGTATATTTACTCTTTTAACCATATTTTTTTTCTTGTGCGTCAGAACAGATGAATATTAGTGTGCAAACCCTTCAGTGGTATCCCTCTGTTTTGAAGTCACTGCATTTGGGTGGGGGTGTGGTTTCCACATTACCATATCATGGTCTCTCCTGCTGTTTTTTATATGGGTTCTCTCTTCCTCCTTGTGCAGAATCTGTTCACTAAGCCCTCAGGTCTTCCTCAGGAGTATTTGCTCTAAATGTAGGTATAGGTTTTGTGTATATATGGGAGGAGATGGAGTTAGGCTCTTTCGACATCATTATCTTGGACCCACCTCTCTACAATTCACTCTTTTAAATGGCATAAATTAATATATTCAGAGTTCTGTAAACCCTACCATGTCAATTTTAGAACACTGTCATCATCCCTCCCCCTAATCCCATACTTAATATTCACCACTCCCCATCCCCTGACAACCCTCATCCACTCATTCAGCCACTAAATTTACTTTGTTTCTACAGATCTTAGTTTTCTGGATATTTCATATAAATGGAATCATACAATGTACGGTCATTTGTGATGGGATTCTTAAATGTAGCATGTTTTCAAGTTTCACCCATATTACAGTGCATATCAGTACTGTGTTCCTAATCATGGCCACATAATATTCCCTTGTTTGGATATACCACATTTTATGCATTGGCATTGGGGCTGATTCTGCTACTTAGTTCTTATGAATAATGCTGTTATAAACATTTGCATACAAGTTCTTGTATGAATATATATTTTTAGTTACACTTGAGTGGAATTGTCAGATGGTAACTATAACTTTTTAAAAGACTGAAAAACTGTTTTTTTAAAGTGTCTGCACCATTTTAGAATCCCAACAGCAATGCATGAATGAATGTTTTAATTTTTATGCACCCTTGCCAATACTCGTTATTGTCGTTTTAAGTTAAAATTATCCGGATTACTAATAATCCTAATTACAATTATCCTATTGGATGTGAAGTGGGATGCCATTGTGGTTTTCATTTGCATTTTCATGATGGCTAATAATTTATGTACCCTCTCATTTGCTTATCAGCCACTGGAACATTTCCTTTGAGAAAAGTCTATTCAGATCTTTTGCTTGTTTTTTAGTTGGGGGGTATTTGTATTTTTCTCCAGCTATTTACATAAAATTCTTTATGTATTTTCGATACATGTCCTTTATGAGAGATATGATTTGCAATTATTTTCTCCCATTTTGTGAATTGTTTCATTCTGATGGTATCACTTACAGCAAGAAGTTTTTAATGTTGATGAGTCCAATTCATCTATTTTATCTCTGTCCCTTGTGCTTTTGGTGTTGCATCTAAGAATGCTTTGCCTAAACCAAGTCCATGAAGATTTCCTCTTAGATTTTCTATAGTTTTAACTCTGATCAATTTTGAGTTAAATTGTATATATTGTGTGAGGTAGGGTATGAACTTAATTCTTTTACTGGTGATTATCTAGTTGTCCCAACATCATTTGTTGAAGAGGTTCTTCTTTCCCACTTGAATTGTTTTGACACCTTTGTCAAATATTAATTGATGACAAATATGAGTTCCTTTTCTGGACTTTCAATTCTATTCCATTGATCTGTATGTTTGTCTTCATGCCTGCACTAAGTCTTGATTATTACAGCTTTTCTTTGTTCTAAGTTTCCCCCCTTCCCCGTTTGTTTTAGGTTTAGTTTGTTCTTTCCCAAAGTTTTAAGCTGATTTATTTATTTGAAATCTTTGTATCTTTTAATAGGTATTGGCTGCTATAAATTGTCCTGCAAATACTGCTTTCGGGGCATTCTGTAAGCTTTGGTATGTTACATTTTTATTTTCATATATTGCAGAGGATTTCCTAGTTTATCTTGTAATTTTCTCTTTGACCCTTTGGTTATTTTGGAGTGCATTAAGTTCTATATATTTTTGAATTTCCCAGATTTGTTACTTTTAACTTTATCCCATTGTGATCAGAGAAGATACATTTTATGATTTCAATACTTCTGAATTTATTGAGACTTGTTTAGTGATCTGGTGTATGTTCTATCTTGGAGAGTGTACCATATGATCTTGAGAACTGTGCTGTGTGAATGTTCTTTAGACAGATACGTTAGGTGTAATTGGCTTATAGTGCTGTTCAATGCTTCTTTTGATCTTCTGCCTAGTTTTTCTCTTTTTATTGGAAGTAGGGTCATGTCTGGCAATTATTACTGAGTTGTGTGTTCTCCCCTCAAACTCTTTCAAATTTTGCTTCAGAATTCTGACAGCAAAATACAGAACTGTGAAAAATTTATGGACTCTATTTTGAGATGCAGCTGTTACAACTGTTACAGCTTGGTGGATTCTTTTATCATAAAATGATGCTCTTTGTCTAATAAGTTATTTTCAAGTTTGTCTAGCTATTCCAGTTCTCTAGTTGAATGCTATTTGCATGATACTTTTACACTGTACCTTTGATTCTGAAGTGTGTCTCCTGAGGACAGCATACTGTTGGATGTTATTTTTGTAATCCAACCTGACACTTGCCTAATGATTATTTAGTCCACTCACATATAATTTGCTATTTATATATATGGTTTGATTTATGCATACCATTTTATTTCCTCATATATTTTTTGTTTGTTCTTTTTTTGTAGAGTAATATTTTGATTTAAATCATTTTTTCTGATTTCCTTAGTGGTTACTCAAGGCCTTACAGTATACATCTTGTCAGAATATACTTCAGCTTTATACTATTTTGATTCTGATGAAATAAGAGAAATGTTACTCCTTCAAAGCTGTTCCTTCCTTTTGGTATTAGATATACTGCATATTATGTTAAAAATATCAGTATATTACTGTAATACTTTTAGAATAGCTGAAAGAGCAAGTACATAGTTTTTATATTAATCTATTTACCATTTCTTGTTTTTTCCTGTATATATTCATTATTGAAAGTTTTGTTCTCACCTGCTTTTTAGTGTTGTCACAAATGTAGGTGCAACACAGTTCTATAGATTGCTTTTTAAATCAGCTGAAAAAGTATAGTTCATTACAATGTTTTTAATAATTTCCTACATAATTACCTTTATTGGCATTGTTTTTTTATGAGGATTTGAATTACTTTGTGGTGTCACTTCCTTTTGGCTCGAAAAACTTCCTTCAGAAACAATGACTCTATAGCATCTTACTATGCTAATGGACAGTGATTACAATGGGGTTGGTGAGGGGGACTTGATAATATGGGTGAATGTTGAAACCACAATGTTGCTCATGTGGAACCTTTACAAGACTGTGTATAAACAATACCTTAATTAAAAAAAAAACTTCTTCAGAATTTCTTATAAGGTTGATTTCCTACAAATGCCTTCTTAAAATCTCAATGTCATTTTGCCTCCACTTCGGAAAGTTTTGCTAGATAAAAGATTCTTCATTGAAAAGTTTTTTTTCTAGCACATTGCATTTCAAAAACTGCTTTCAGGCCTCTTATTATTTCTAGTAAGTCAGTTGTCAGTTAATGGGGTTTTCTTGCACCATGAGTGGTTTTTCCATTTTCAATATATTTTTTTTCAATTTTTATTCTGACATTCTGTTATTCTCTGCTTGCCTCCGACCTACTCATAAGCTGGGGTAATTGTGATTAGGGAAGAGTATTCTTGACCTGTCATTCCTGGGGTAGACTATCTGTCCTATAAGTGGGAACTGGGTAGAGGAAGGAAGCTCCAGACCTCTTTGCTCCTGTTGCTTTGAATAGACCTACTGCCACAGAGTTTGGAAGGATGAGAAATGGTGGCAGTCTGCTTCTCACAGGGAGAAACTGTAGGCAGAGACTGGGAGCTGCAGGGAAGGGTTGGGGTCATGGATCAAATACCACAGACTCAACTATACCATGGGTAGTATTTTCTTGAATAAATGTTTTTGTTTGCTGTATGCTCTTATGACAATTTTTAGAGACTTGAATATTTTTAAAATATAATATTTATCAGTTAAGGTCGTTTGTTTTACTAAGGAGTCTGTAGATCTCCTCATGGTACCATTCAAAAAGTGCTTCCTGATTATTTTTTGATGCATGTCTTAAAATACAAGCAATCAGGACCCTATTAATGAGGCAATATGTTCACAACCTGAAAAAGCTTCCTGCTGCCACCACATGATTCAATACCAACATGCAGCATACAGAATAAACAAGCAATCCTTTAATAGTTACTTAAATATATTCCAGAAGTAAAGAGTGTAATTCATTACAAGTGCAGTCTTTTACACCAGTAAATGTTACTTGACCTGTTGTATAAAGTAAGTAATGCTGCATAAGAATTAGTCCTGGAATAGTTCACTGAGTTTCTATTTCCAATCCAGTAGATTAAAAAAAACACAACTGTGAATGGTATAAATATGTAAGGCTCATACTGTGATAAAATCAGTCTCAAAAATGAAGAATACACACCCTTTCCATATAATTTAACAACTTACAAGTTTTCCTCAACTTAAACATTAGCTCCACACAGAAAAAATTAAAGATGTTTTCCAATGTGAGGCAACTGTACAAAACTCTAGAATATGACCATTAAATGACTAATGTATCAAAATCAACAGAATTCAGACAACACATTTAATTCTGAAGTAGCCAGAAATAAAAAGACAATTTACAGAGAATAATAACTGATCTCTAATCATCATCAGAATCTGAATCGTATTTCTTTCCTCGGATAGTTTTCTTTTCCAGCTTTGTGAAGTTTGTTCCAAATTTCTTCTGGCTCTGAAATGGTGGCTCCATTAAATTTCCACTAAAAATAAAGCAAATTTGAAAAACATTTATTCTTTATGATTTAGTACAATTGGTATACTTTATGACTCAGTACAGTTGGTTTAAACTGCCACAAAAATCTATCTTTTCTTCCTCACTGTAACATAGGGAACAGAATAAAACTTTCTTAAAATGCTGGTGTAAAGGAAGAGGTAAATTATCCATACTGATGGTTAATAGTTTTAAACCTTATTGTATACTACTAAACATTTCATATCATTGTTTTCTCTTTTATCATTAATTACTGATTAACATTTCACAGGATGTATCAACAGAATTTCTGACTGAAAAGCATAGAAGGAAATAAAAGATTTTTCATCTGTTTTGGGTATGCTGAAACTGTATTAGATTGTTTTCACTGTGAAAATGTCACAGGAAAATGGTGCTCTATTTGTTAGCCTGTTATGACTTGTTTGATAATGTTTCTTTCTTTGCACAGACATCAACAAAACACATGGAATTCATTATCATTAACCTGGAATTGGTATGAAACTCTTTTCACTGATGCTTGAGAAATAAATGAGACAATTTCTTCTTTCAGAAACATCTGGGGATATTTCTAGCACCTATTTCTTGGTTTTAAAATGTCATTTAACACTGAGAGGAACCACGGCTCCTTGGAGAAATAGCCAATTCTAGGGATGGTACAACATGAGCCCCACCTAAAACATCCATTCACCCCGGAAAGAGAGTGCTCAAAGAATTATGGAGACACACAGAAGCCAGCATGAAAGAGGCTCTCACTGGCCAAATCTAGAGCAATTTGGGCATTAAATAAGATTAACAAACTATAACCTGCTTAATAAAATAATACATAGCCCTTTCTAATATAAATAAATGTAAAAAGTAAATTAGTGTGGTATATGGAAAAGTTATTCCTCAAATCACCATTTGGCCTGTTTGCCAACTGGTTAGCCAGTGGTCAGTTTTCACCATCAGAAAGGTGATAAATCATCACATTGCCCCCTGATGTAGTGCACTGAGAAGAATACACTATCACTTCTATTATATTCCTGTGAAAAAATGCATAATCTGAATCTAACCTTGAAACATTAGACAAACCCACATTGGGGGATGCTTTATAAAATAACTAGCTTGTACTCTTTAAAAAAAAAAGTCAAAATACTGAAATACAAAGGAAGGGTAACAAGTAATTCTAGGTTAATGGAAACTAAAAACATAGTGACTACATGCAATACATTTTTTTTTTTTTTGGTATGGAGGGCTTTTTGGGACACTAGAACTTGAATAAAGTCTGTAAATTACAACGTACTGTTTTAATAATTGTACTATAGTTATATAAGAAAATGTCCTTGTTTTTAGGAAATACACACAGAAATATTTAGGAGTAAAAGGATAATAGATCTACAACTTCCACCAAAATTGCTCTGAAAAACAATGTACTTAATCTAGGAAGAGAATAATAACGCAAATTTAAAATGTTTAACATCGGGGAATATGGTTAGAGAGCATATGAGAACTCTTTGTACTAGTTTTCAACTTGTCTAAAGCTTGAAATCACTTCAAAATAATTTTATTTAATATTAAGAAAATAAAACCTAAACTCCCAGATCAATTCTATAATGTAGGGATGATTTAGGCATGTGTAGGAGACAAGTCACAGAAAAGCGAGGAGAGGGTGTGAAAAGATGAGACAAAGGCACTATGGCTGTGGAATGATAACTACACAATTCTGCCTGTTACTTTTGCAAAATATACTCTGATTTGTGGAGTTTATAATTATTTTTCTGGAGAAGTAGACAAAGGGATGAATGAAAATATAAGTTGGATTTTAGATTGTTTTCAAACTGAGACTGGTCCCCATAGTAATTTAAACTATGCTTAGAAATGAGATTTTATATATTTTATCAGATTCTACAATTGAGATAGGAATAGCTATGTTAAAAATACATTTAAAAGTAAGTCATTGTCAATCTGAGTAATCTAGTTTAAATCAAGTATCAATCAATCTGGAGAATCATTTTGGATTTGCAGATTAATACAGAATTAGATTCAATAGGATCTGTTAGATTGAAAACTTTTATACCTGAGTGTATGTCAAAACTCAATTTTATCTAATTTTGCTGTTAAGATAATGCTAATATTGTACACTTTAAGAAATATATTTTCCCTTTAAAGAAGTTTTTCTACATCTCAGCCAGATCATCTTAGGTTTCATAAAATAAATGATAAAATAAAAAGATCCTTTCTAAAAAAAAAATCAACTGAATATGTGAATTAAAATAAATCTATTATTTTGCTGAGTTACCTGTAATTAAGAATATCAGAACAACCAAGCCTCCATTCTAAAGTTTCTGTGGTGAAGTCATCTGTATTTCCTAGGTCACTAAATCCAACAACATAATCTTGTGTTTTTCCATCTTTTACCAGTGCTAGTGTGGGAATGACTTTGATACGCAGTCTCTCACAAAGGAAAGGTGCTTTTTCCACATTCAGCTTCAAAAATTTGGTCTCAAGATGTTTCTTGGACAGTATCACCAAGTGTCTGTCTAGAATTTTACACCTGCAAATGACAACACATAGAAAATCGAAAGCTAAAACAGATTTCAGAATTCTTTTTAAAAATAGGTATCATTACAGTGCACCTAATTTTTATAGTATTTCCTTGTCTCAAAATTTGGCAGCCCACTTATGTTTGTGTCAGATGATCTCATTTCCATTTATTTCATAGGTTAGCTGCCTGAGTATGAGATGCAGAAAAACCTAATATTCTAGAAAGTCAGATTTGCCCTAATGCTATTTATAAAAAGCAAAACATTAAATATATGCCTTAAGTCATAAATGGTTCACGAAACTGTCATATCCATGGTAAGAACAAAAATTGTCATTTCTTCTTATGCACATTTCCTGATATATCACACAGGGAACCTAAATGGTGACAAGTATCAACTTAACAGAACTCAGACTTTTCAGAATTAGAAATGTATATATGATGCCATACTTGGAAGTCATTATGAAACCTGGAAGGTGTTACTGAGAAGAAACTCTTCTGATGTGTAACTGTCAGCGACAAAGAAACATATTAATGTTCAGGGCTATAAACTGGTCATTATGACTCTAAAGAAATGAAGAATACTAGTCCTAACTTTTATTAAGTCATCTTCTACTGAGAAATAAAGCAGAGGTGACATTTCCTTTAAAATGTATTCTAAACTAGTCACTCCTCTAGTGTTTCTGAGACTATTGTAATAATTTTTTTCAGCAATTCTTAACTGTACCTGTACATTACAATCAACTTTTAAAATGTACAGATGAACCAAAATTCCCTTTGCGTTGAAAAACGAGCAGGTGATTCTCATGCCTAACACAGTTTGAGAACTACTGCTTTAGAAGACTAAGACACCAAATGCTTCATAGTGATTTTTACTAGCAAGCTTTTTGGGCACTTCTTCGTATGGTTTTCCCAAATTAGATTTGATTCCAGCAAGTTTCTTGTAACCTTGATGCCTTATTACTATCCCTCTGAATTTATCTTTTCATGTATCACCCATGTAGTAGAGCAATGAGGTTTTAGTGAAAAATGACTGGAGAGAACAAATTTAGAAATGGTTTTTGAAAAACAAATGATAAAGTAAGCATTATATGAGAAATATGTTCTTAAAAATTTGTACATAAATCAATTTTATGATTTTACTGGAATAATACAGAACCTATCTTAAAATAAGTCTGTGATTATACCATTTATCAATTCACTTAATATAATATAGAAGCAACAGTCGTGGTGTAGTTAAAATAGCTTTAGGCATAAAACCTGGGTTCAAATCCTATCATTTAGTAGCTGGATGACAATAGGTGAGTCACTTAAATCTCTCAGTCTTGGTCTCCACACATGAAACATAAGAAATTATACCTATTTACCTGAAAGGGTCATTGTGAATGTTCCAGGATTTTATATATGAGTATTCAGTGTACTGTGTGTTAAGAATTTTGATACATCTCTGTGTGTGTGTGTGTGTAAAATCAAATTTTTTAATTGATTTAAATTTGGATTTTTCAGTTTTGCTTGAAGGTAAGTAGTTCAGGTGTTGCACTGTTTCTACATCCATCAGGTATATTCACTGAGCACCTATGAAGTGTCAGCCATTGCTGCTCTAGGGTAAGGAACCTTGAGCTCTGTGGGTCATAATGCAGGTAAACTCTCTGTCTTCACAAAACTAATACTCTAAGGGGTGAAGACATCTAATAAACAAGTAAACAAATAATGTCAATCTTATAGACTGATAATGATATCAATATATTACCTCATCACATATGTCAAAGGTTGGCAACTTAAGGAATGTGTGCCACTGGGAGATGACAGTGTACCAGAAAGGCAGAGTGTCTGATACCCTTTTACCTTTTTAATTAATCCCTTCCCTCACCTTCCCTTACAAGAGATTTCTATCTCAGTATTTTCTTTCATTTTTATATTCTTGGTCAATAAATTCTAGGTAATCAATCCCTGAAAAGTGTTAACTGATAACTAAGTTGTTGGGTGGTAAGACTAAGACAAGGTCCAGGCAGGCTATGGAAATGAGAGGAGGGCAGGGCTGAGCCAATAGTGAATGAAGGAGACTCTATACTGGAAGGTATGTCCATCTAAGAAGCTGCTAATCAGCATTAGAGTACTGCTTTCTTATTAAATTCTAGGCCTGCTATTACCAAGTTTTCTGATTTTAATTCTGAAATACAGAGTTAAAAAAAAAAAAAGGCTCTCTCTCTGTTTCTAAATGTTGGCAACTAATCAAACTTTAGGGCTTAAAAAGACAAGCTTGAGTGCTCTGGTTTAAGATAGAACCTCTTTGGGGTTATTTTAATTTTACAAGGAATATGCCTCCACACAGAGGTTTGCAGACTTGGGCTAAGAGAAATCACTTTCTTCTCCTGCCAGCCAAGCCTGCTTCTGGTGAAAGGCTTAGTCGAGCCAGTCTCCCCAGGAGTTGCTATCTGAGGAGTGACTGAATTCAAAGCTCATGTTCAAGTTAGTTGGCCCCCATTCCCAACATCATGGCTATATCATAGACAAAGGGAAAAAACTAAAAGTAATTCTTGTTGCATTGATTTAAAAAAAAAGACTCAGACTACATTTATAAGATTTTTTCAAAGTTAGCTAGTGAAAATAAAATTCATAAAATAGCCATTTTTATGGAAATATTCTTGGTTTTCAATAATGTTCATTTAAACTTTTATCACTGGTTTATATGTTAATCTTCAAAATAACAACTGTTCAGCTATAACATCAGACTTCTAGTAGTATGAAGAAATGACTTAGGAAGTAGTTCCTTTTATTTTAATTTTTCTGTTAAGTCAGTGTATATCCATTCAAAGATTTCATGTATAAAAGTCACTGATGGAAATAAAGTTACCTGAATGTGGAGTCTCTGTAGAAATGGCAAACCACTTTTTTACTCTCCTTCACTTCTTGAAAAAAGTCTCTCTCACTAGGAATTTCTCTGTATTCCCCATGCCCTTTTGAAAGCCATTCCTAATTTGGAGAAAACAGAAATATTACACATTGAAGTATCTCTTTCAGTACCACTTTACATTTTGTGTCTAAATCACCATAGTATTTCATAATGAAGTCAGTTTCATCTTGTAGAGAAATGTATTCCTTTTACTGCTTTACTTTTTTTTTAGCTGAAGTATAGTTAATATATTACTGGACTACTTTCTTATGTTTCTGGTATCAATACAAAAGTAGTCTGTGTGCAGTGTCTATCTCCAGAGCATGGCTTGTACTTAAGACAATTATTTGTCTTCGTAATTTAAAACATAAATGCTTTCTTAGAACTTCAAAAAAAAATTTGACTCAAGAGACTCAGACTGTAAACATCCACCTCTTTACACTCAGACTACTAAAATCAGAAGCATTTGATCCAAAGTACTACAAAGCTTTGAAAAACAATGTGCATGAGATAAAGTGAGTCATTCTGGGGGGTAGGGGAGCAGCTTGGAGCCCTGTCTGCTTTTGATGACTACCTCAGAGAGGCAGGAGCCTTTTATATACTGGCCACCAATAGCAGTATCCTAGGAAGAAAAAGTTGTCTATGCACATGGTGTCCCGAAAACATAGATCTCAAAGTCATCACATATCAGCTCTTATTAACTACACCAGTCGGCTTTTCAGCTTCTTGAACCTTTCCTGTGGCAGGAATCCTAGCACCTCAACTGGAAGCTTGTTTCTTTTTTCAGGCAGCTGGCATGATTAAAAAGGAGCACTGGACATGGGCTTGGATAACTGTTTTTAAGATTTATTAGGCTATGAATTCTAATATCCTGAGTCTCAATTTCCCCATTTGTTAAGTGGAGATCATAAACCGTTTCACTGAGCTGTTGTGAAAATAAGACAATGTGAAAATAACCATGTCTGCAACATGTGCTTATTCAAAGGCATTTGAAGATATGCTAATTTTTAGGTCTTTTCACAGTGAACTGCAGTATCTTTGTAACACTGGTCAGCGGATCCCAGCTTGGAGCTAAGATTAGAAGAGTTCTCTTTCACATGTCTGCTCTTCAGATACCACACTTTACCTATGTCCTGCCTTCTCCATATTGAACATCTCCGTTTCCCTTTGTTTCTCCTATGAAATGATTTCTACACTTCTTACTCTTCTGGTTCTTCTCTGAAGGTCCAATGCCTCCATGTCCTTTTAAAAAGTGGCAGAGGTCTGAATGCAGCCCTCCAGCAGTGGCCCAACTAGAAAGGCACAGGAGTGCCATCTATTTCCCTCCTCTGGACTTAAGGTATTGAAGCCCAGGCCACATTAATAGTTCTGGTATCCATTTCACATTGGCTTTCACTGAGATGACAATCACAGGAGGCCCTGTCATTTTCTCCTTATGGAACATTTCTTTAGTAAAACTTCTTTAAGCAGTTGAAACTCTTGAATACAATTCCTTCATGACATGTGACATTTCATGACTTCTTTCTTGACCCACCCATAACATCTGCACTTAAAAAAGAGTATTTTTTGTTCTTTAAAAAGCTGTTTCTTTTCATTGTTTATGATCATGTGTTTAACCAAGACCTGAACCTGTACAAGTTCCTTAGAGGGAAGCAGGCCCCCACCCCGAACCTTATCAATATATAGCATCTCTCCCAAGATACTCACCACACCCCACTGCTCCTGGTATAGTTCCTTTCCCAGAGCATGTGCTTCAGAGATTTGCTGAATGGCATCAAGCAGGGTGGGCAGAGCTCACAGTGCAGCCTAAGTTACCTGGCAGCTGGGCAACACCTGGTTCTCAGTGGCTACCTCCAAGCATCTGGTGGGCTCTTCCTTATTTCTCACCTTGTCTCCTGTATCCTACCTCAGTCCCCTGTCTCTTGCTGCCATATAGTAGGAAGGTGCTTGGCTGACCGAGGAGTACTGAGTAGCACAGGCCTATTAAGTGCTTATGTCACTGCATACACTGACTTCAACACCCTCATGGATCAGAAAATCAAAACTACCATACAATCTGAACTCCTCTTTATAGATACTAAAAACACATTTTAATAAAAAAGATCTACTAAAATGCAATGAAAGCTCTAAAATGAGACCCCACGAATTACTTCATACAAATTCATTTTAAATTGATTTGTATATTAATAGAAATAGCATTAAAGGTGCCTGCCTCAGTAGGTTTTCAACTTAAATATTCAGACTGTTGTTTAACTGCTGACAACTTCATTTTGGTATTAGACATTCATTTAAGGTATTAATACATGCTCCTCACTGTATTATCAGTTGATTAAGTCTTTCTACAAAAATATCCTAGTTAACGGCAATTTTTTTAAAGCATTAGCAAATGATCATGAATTGTGATCATGAAATGTGAGTTTGTGGTGGAATCTTGTTATATGTTACCTTAAATAATTATTAGCATTGTATTAAGAAAAGTAGCCTGGTTCCAAAACCCACCACCCATGTCCCACCCCCCCAATTCACACCCTATTTTAGAAAACTGAGGATACAAAAATTGAAACTGAGTGACATTGTAAGATTCTTTCCTTTTTGTATCAATTCTTCTAAACAGTGAGGGTATAACAATTATTGCACAGATACTATAGCAGCACAAACAAAACTCTGTGTTTCTTTAGGAAAGCTAAAGCTCATGTTTTAGTCAAGGCCAACTAAAGAGGAAACGGAGTCAGTGATAATGCATTTCAATGTAACTTGAACCAATGGAAACATTTTTAAATCAAAATTCAATTTATATAATTTAACCCAATTGGTTTTGATCAGAATTTAGAAGTCTGTTCTACATTCACACTCTGAGGCAGCACAGTTAGAGCTGTGGCCACCTTTCTTTGTGACCCAGCATGCAGTGTGTTGAATAAATAAGCCACATGATTAAATATTATACTGGAAATGCCTGGAACAATTTCTTCAATGTAAATTACCTTAAAGCTCTTACCTCATTTGCTTAGCTCAGAGCTAAATTACAAAGACTTTTACTACTTCTTGAAGGGGGAAACCGCTGACTCCTAATGCTCCTGGTGCTCTTCCTATCCACTTTCTCCTTAGCCACATAAACCTGAGCTCAGAAAGTGATCTTGGGCACTTGTTTCTTTTTGACTTGACTGTGGATTAATTTACAGATCAGGCTAATTTTGGATGTGTCCTTAAAACATTTTTTTTTCCCCTGGCAAATTTTTAACAGTGATAATGTACTTTTAAGTCTAAAAACCATAAAAATGAGGACTGAAATGTAACTACCACAGCATATGTATATATAAGTTGTTAGGAGCATACTGTTAGAGCAATTTCAGAAAGCAGGGCAGAGATGTTACTTGTTTCTGTTGTTGAGCTTTCCTGAGTGCCTCAAGTCTCCTTTCTTTGAGGTGTTCCAATTCATCCTCGTCCATCTGATCCAGTTTCTGAATTTCAGTATCCAAATGTTCTTCCACTAGTTTGGTAGTCTGAAGCAATTGATTCTCCAGGACTTTTGAAAACATGTCAACAGATGCATTAGCTTCCATTCTAAATGGTGCAGTTCAGCCTTAGTGCTGGGGAGAAAATCTATGAAGTCAGGGAAAAAAAAAGAGTGCAAACAATAAAGTCTTCTCTTATTTTCAAAAATTCTAGCAACTGTATAATAATTTGTACCTCACAAAGTGTTCTGCTGACAACCGAGCATGTTATGTTAGGCTTAAGAATTTCTACTTAAATTTTTTAAAATTTAATTTTCAATTAGGTTATAGTCACACCACTCAAAAACTACTTAGAGCAAAGATCAGGTGCTTATAATTTAGTTTTTAGTGTATTTACTACACTAAAGCAAAGACAAATGTTTAAGACCAGAGAGAAATTGAGTAGTTGGAATTGTATCTAGTGACACATAGTGACAATAGAGGTCTTTACCAAAGAAAAAGGGAGGCAAAGTAGAAATGACTGTGAACGATGGTAAAGTTCAACTGTAGTGAGGTTTTACACAATACATATCTAAATCAACCTTGGCTTCAATACAGAGCAGAGTGGAGCAGAAGATGAAGTTTTCATTGTCTCTGCCTAAATAATTTTCATTTAACTCCTGAGAGAGCTTAATACAATTTATGTAAGGAACAGTGTCTGGTGTTCTCTAAACTTTAGTTTCCATTCCTGTTCTCCAGTCACCTAACAAAAGTCACGAGGCCACAAGGGTTGATATTGGTATTGATTTACTGACACTCACGGCTCTTAACTTTATTGTAAAACAATGTAACACTCCAAGTATTTAAAAGAACATTGATTTTTCCATCACTTCTCTATGTAAGGTAGTTTAAAAACAAGATCTAATCCAGATTAAAAGGGATATCTCAATTACATATTTTAAAAGAAATGTATTATTTTCTACCAGCAACAAACGGATGGCAGTTTTATGTGTATCCCTGTGGTTATATGTCACAAAAATATGGTAATCTAATATAATTTTCTTATCAAAGCGGGAGTCTGTTGCATCTCAATTATAATACATAATTGCAAGTCCTACTGAAGCACCTTAAAAAAATGTGAATAAACTGTGAACGCATTCGCACCAGCTTCTGACACATAGCCTGGCTCACAACGGCCCTCTCTAAACATTCAACTGAAGAGAAAAGGTCTTCCGCAAACTTCACTTCTGATTCATTTTTCTTCACAGGAAAAGTATTTGAAAAGCATACCTGACCACATCTGTGTATTCGCAGAGCTAGCAGTGTTTGGAACACGGCAGGTGCTCAGAAATACCGACTAACATTGACTAAACGTGCGCCTAGCTTCTGTTCAAATTTCCTAAAGTATTCGAGCTAAAAACAAGTTGCAACCTCAAAAATGCTACTACACAATTTTAAAGGAGCTGTACTTCAAATACAGTGAGAGAATTCACATTCCCTACCTCCTAAAAAAGGTGTAAGAGGGTGCCCCTCAGGAATGGAGCCGGTTGAGACAGAATACTGGTTACTAAGGCACTGACGTGTGTCAGACCGTTCCTACTAGAGGCTGAGCTCAGAATTTCATTCTGGGATAACTGGGAAACAGAAGCGATTAACAAGAGTTGTTTTGGGGGCAGGTGGAGGTTACCGCGTTCAGAGGGCAAAGGAGACGATGTAGCGATTCGGTAACTTTTTTCACTCTTCAAACCACAAATCTCGGAGTCTTTCCTTGTTTCAGTTCAACTTTAAGTGGTGGGGACATGTCCTCAATTTACCTAACCATTTCCTTGATTCCCCCCCCCCACCACGTGCATCGGCCAAAACAACTAAGGTGTCGCATCCATAACTGCACCCCGAGTACCTCCCCCAAAATATCCTCGCCACGCCCTGAACCCCAGGGACAGATAAGGACAAAGTTCAGGTGGCCCCGACTTCGACGCCGCACTGACACCGGAGTCTGGGCCGTGCCCCTCCCCCGCCCGGGCCGGATGTTGAGTGGCGGTGTGTATATTAGCACCCCGACGCGGTGGCCGGTCTTTTTCTCACTAACCTCTGTCCCACCTGAGTTCTCGGCGGTACCTGAGAAGCGAGGGACCAGCCGCTCCAGAAGAGAAGTCCACTCCGGCCTCACCCTCACAGAGGATGCCGGTAGCGGCGAGCAGGCCGTCACTTCCGCCTCCTCATTGGCTGCGGCCCTCACGCGATACAACCCGCTACACCCGAAGGAAGTTCGGCGGGGTAGAGGGGCTTGCACGAGGCGAACGCTTCTGCGCGTGCGCCCGCTCTCGCGCCCCTGGTCCAGCGGCCCGGAACCCAAGGTTTCCGATTTTTTGCCTCCCTCCCGGTAAACTGTCTACGGAGCGAGGGAGCAAAGTAGGCTGGGAGTTGTAGTTTCTTAGTGTTCGACGTGGTTTTCCCGACTTTCTTAGGCTCTGAGCCTTAGCTAGCTCAATGTTACATCAGAAATTAGACAGCAATGGTCTTGCTCAGAAGTGTCACTCCAGCTTAGCTTCCATTCTCTTGCATGGACTTTCTCCTTGTTTAAAAAGTTGAATATAACGTACAGCATGATGACTTCTGACACAGTTAACACCTAATATCACCGTTCAGATTCAGATATAGAACATTTTTACCACCCTAGTAGGTTCCCTCATGACTTTTCACAAATTTTTCAAACTTGCTCTTACTTTGAATGTAAAGGTTAACATTGGAGGTTAATGGGCGTGTCTTTGTTTTATTTTTCTAGTGATTATGCATCACAATTCATGGATGTTACTGAAAGGCCTAACTTTGTCCTCGATTTATCTCCCTTGGGAACATCCAGAGTGCTTGTGATTGGTTCATTGTGGCTGTTTACTGAACTTAAGGGCGTCTGAGAATAAAAAGGTATAGAGGTAGAAGGGAAGCCCAAGGTTTACTTCTGAACGGAGCTCTAATCCCCTAAATCTGCGATCGCGACTAGGAGCTGGCTGACGTGAAAATTTTTCCATCTCATTGTCCCTCCCCTAAGGGTTCTAGAATCCGGAGACCCCTGCAGGCGTCGGTGCGCGGCGAATGCCTGAGGGCAGGGGGCGCTAGGGCTCCCGCCTTGGCGGGCGAATAAACTAGGAACGCTCTACCCGAAGCGCAGCTCTCGATGAGCCGCGCCCTGCGTCCCCACGCCGAGGCGGCGGTGCGGTGCGCTTGCGTACTGAGAGCTCACACCATATGTGCCCTGTCCGGTGCGCGGTCTGTGAAGAACTGGGTGCGAGAGGCTGCAGTGTTGGGGGGAACCGAGCCGAACGGAAACCAAAGTCGGCCGGGGGACTGTGGGTTTGTGAGAGACCGAACCGGGGCCACTAGCGCCGCTGACACACGATGGGGAAGAAGCAGAAAAACAAGAGCGAAGACAGGTAGCCAGTGGCTGGGTCCGTACAGCTGCGGCCGGCGCGGCTCAGTGGGTCTCGCGGTCCCGCCGGCGCGGGGTGGACCGGGGTCGAGGCTCGAAGCCGGTACCGCGGGCATCGGGCCTGGGCCCAGAGTGGGCGACGCGAGGCCACAACCCCAGTTCCGGGCGGGCGTGGAGGCCCTCGGCCGCTGGCGGGTTCTCCCAGCCAAGACTTGGTCCCCGTGCCACCCCTCGCCTGGCCTAGAAAGAGAAGGGTCTTCGGCCGGAGGAGCGGGGTAGTGGGTTTTGGGGGTTCGGGCCCCTCTTCGGTGTCTTCTGTGGGCCTGGTAGCCCTGCCGGCGTGGTCCGCGAGAGAGTTTTTTTTTGCGGCGCTGCTATTGGTGAGGGTCAAGAAGAGTTCTTTTTATATCTTTGTATCTGTGAATACTTGCAGAAAGGAGGGAGTTCGAATCTAATGTACGTAGCTACAGCCAATGTTTCCACTTTCCGAGCTGCTGAAGTACATTGGGGTTAAAGGGAAATGTTTAACAACTAACTCTCTTTGAACTTCATTTAATTTAGGTATCCCAGTTATTTAAGGGTTGAGTGTCCAGACTCCATGCTTTTCTCTTTTCTTCCGGCTTGTCTTTTGGTCATTCTTGCCCTCTAGCCCCTCCCCAGAGAAAGGAGGTGAAACCAACCAGGGTCGCTGCCTTTTAACCATTTCAAAGGCTCTTGGTGGGGAGAAAGTGTAACGGTGTACGTAGAATTACATACCCCTAGATTTTTGGAATATTTTTGTGTGCCACTTTCAATTAAGTTGTTACCCTTCACATTGAAAGTTTCCTTCCTGAGCGTGAACATCTGTTACTTTTCACCTTTGTTATATTACTCACCAAATTTAGTTCAAACACTAAGGGGAGAGTAAGAAAAAAACAAATCCCAACAACCTGGATGGTTAATCATTTTGACTCAAAACGGGTAGTAAAATAAGATTGCTAATTATAAATTGGAATCGTGGATTGTTTCCTCACAGAGCACTCACCTAACTGACGAGTAGAATTAAAGGACACCAACCTGAGTCTTGTATTTCAGTTGCAGGTGTTTCGGAGGAAGTTAATTGGTTTGAAGAATAGAACTTGTTAAACCAGATAAATAAGAAGAATAAGCAGAATTCTGAGGGATTTAGTGGGACAGAAATTTTTCTACTTTTGACAGGATGTTTTGATGCACAGGATACTTTTTTTCTTCAACCATATACAAAAAATAGATGAGTATGTAGTAATGCTTTATGTCCTAATTAATCTGTTTCAGCCGTTATCACATAATCAATCCTGTTTCCTCCACTTGCTGGATATTTTAAAGCAAATTTCAGGATCATTTCATGTGTAAATCCTTCAGGTGTATCTGAAAGATAAATCCTTAAGGGGAAAAAGCAGCCACAGAAACAACAAAACACAACCACAATGTCATCATCAAGCCTAAGGAATAATAACAGTGATCTCTTAAATATTACCAAGTATCTCATTTTCTGATTTCATTGATTATCTTATTAAAGAACATTTTTTTAAACAGTTGGTTTGTTTAGATCAGGAATACAGAAAACTGTTCTTTAGATCTAAAAAGCCACACGTCTGTGTTATTTTATTTACAGTTTTTACTTACCAGGCTCTTTGACAGTGGGGAAAAAACTACACAGAGGGGAGATAATTATTCTTGTCTGTGTATTAGAGAAAAGTGTCTATTATGATTCGTAAGGACTTTCATGATGATATGAAGTTTAAGTTGTAGACACTGGAACCTGTTGTTAAATGATTGGTTCAGGAGTGTAGAAGGAAAGCTGCTGAGTTTTTTCCTCTCACATTAATCTGTAATCTTTATTTTTGGCTCATGTTGAAGGGAAAGTGGTCACAACATAATTGAGAATCAAATTTATTTTCTCATATGCCAATATCAAGTTTTGTTTGTTTTTTAATGCTTCATGAACTCCTTTGCTTGGGTGCCTTTCACATTTTATCTAAGAAATCCTAGGGTTTTGCAGAGGGCCTCTCTGACCCATCTTCTTGGCTTTTATAGTTTGGTATTTTATATAAGAGATTTTGGCGGGAGGAGGAGCAGGGAAGTTCCAGTGCTTTGTGTTAGTTTGCTTTGACTTTTTGTGTATTTAAATAGTCTTCCTTCAAGGATATTTTGAATATTTGTAAAAGGAACAAAACATAGACTGAGGAGAAAGTCCTGTTTTAGGATTAATGTTTTTTGTATAAAATGAGATGCTTACCTAGTTTTACTCTCTTATATAAAGGTACCCACTTTTTAAAGAATTTACACTCATCCGACCCACCCTTCCCTTCCCAGCCATCCTAAACCAAACATGTTTCTGGTGAGGTTGAATTGGGTGAGAAATGGGCTGCTGCTATTATCAAGATAAGACATTGAGCCACTTCTCAGTTCCTGGAGAAAGCATCAAATACTTGTCTGTTTTAATCCTTAATGTCCTTAGTATTTAATTATCCTTATTTTAACTTTTTAGCCATTGAATGTTCACTTAAAATTAGATTTTGTTTAATCTGAATATCTAATTTTACTTAGCATATGTTCTGTTACATCAGTAACTGACCTTTGTATAAAGACTGAGTTCTAAAATTTTGTTGCAGCTTGTGTAATTTTAAGGAGACTTTAGTATAGGGTGTTCAACAAGTTTTCCTTACAGTTTTTAGTTGACTGAGGAAACTTAATGAGACAAAGGATAGGATTCAATATCTACATATGATACAGAATAGAAAGCCAGTATTTAAATTTCTTCCTGTAACCTTCCCTCGTCATCATTTTACATAATGGAATCTTATGGGATCTTGTGTGGTCTAGTGATGACTTGTTTTAATTTACACAGTAAGAAGGATATTTTATTACTGATATGTGCAGAGAAAAAAGGATCTAGATATCTAGCTTTTTTCACAGCCTCCAATTATTCATATAGGTCCCTTTTGTTTGATCCCCAAGTATGGTAGTTGTATTTTTCAGGTTATAAGGAATCTGGTGTGTTAATTAAGTAATGGGACTAATAAAACAGATTTCTCTCCCACCCCCTTCCCCCCAAAAAATATACTGAGGGAGAACAGATAATTATTTTATCTATCCCACAGTTGGATATGGAGGTGGGATGTAATTCAGCAACCAGGAGGTCTTTCAGGATTCAGTAGAATTCTGGTGTGTATTTTCAGCATTAAATTACTTGTTGCTGTGGCTCTATACATCAGAGCTGGTGTAAGGACCCCACTGTTCTTTGCTTTTAACTACAGATAATGGGTCTGTTATTACTGTGACAGTGTGTCTCTGAGACAGCTGCTTAACCTTTAGATGAAGATGATTGCCCTAGTGTCAGACATTCATACTAGTCAGTCTGGTGTCAGGGTAGTGGGTTCCTCCCATGTGCTAGAAAACGTGGTGATTTGCTTAAGGAACCTTTCCAGAGGGAGCTGTGACTGTAGTAGGTAGTCCAAAGCTTCCCAGAGAGGGAGTGGTCCAAGTGTCAGATAGTCCAATAATCTAGTTCAACAAAGGTATTTCTTATTTGCATATGTTTGAAGTAATAAAAAACCTGCCTGCATACATTAGGTCAAGTAAGAAGAAATGTATTCTCTCAGTGTTCTCTTGGCTTGTTCCTATGCAGATACTTGAGGAAATTGTTATGTGGAAGGAAGGAAAGAAGTCTTAGTTTGCCATAAATTAATAAGAAAGTAGATGATAAACTTATGTTGTTAGCTTGTAGTAAGCTCTTCAGCCTTCTGTACTGGTGATCTCTGGAGAGCCCATGCAGCTCCTTTTTTTAAATTTTATTTTATTTATTTTTGTTAAGTTATTGATACACACTCTTATGAAGGTTTCACATGAAAAAACAATGTGCATACTACATTCACCCATGTTATTGTGCCTCCCCCCATACTCCATTGCAGTCACTGCCCATCAGTATAGTAAGATGCCACAGAGTCACTATTTGACTTCTTTGTGCTACACCGTCTTCCCCATGATTCCCCCAACCCCATGCAGCTCCTTTTGATGTTACTTGCCTAGTGATTGTATTTATCCTGTTTATTCCAGTCTTTTAATGATCTACAAGATGGGCAAAGCCTTGTTCAACTGAGGAACTAAATGTCAGTAATTAGAACAGCAGTTCTCAAACTTTTTGATCCTAGGACCACTTTACACTCTCTCCTTTTTTTTTGTTGTTGTTATTTTGGTATCATTAATATACAATCACATGAGCAAAATTGTGGTTACTAGATTCCCCCCAGTATCAAGCCCCCACCACATACCCCATTACAGTCACTGTCCATCAGTGTAGTAAGATGCTATAGAGTCACTACTTGTCTTCTCTGTGCTATACTGCCTTCCCTGTGCCCCCTCCCCACGTTATGTGTTCTAATCGTAATGCCCCTTATTCTCCTTCTCCCTCCCTTCCCACTCACCTTCCCCAGTCTCTTTCCCTTTGGTAACTGTTAGTCCATTCTTGGGGTCTGTGAGTCTGCTGCTGTTTTGTTACTTCAGTTTTTTCTTTGTTCTTATACTCCACAGGTGAGTGAAATCATTTGGTACTTGTCTTTCTTCACCTGGCTTATTTCACTGAGCATAATACCCTCTAGCTCCATCCTTGTTGCAAACGGTAGGATTTGTGTTCTTATGGCTGAATAATATTCCATGGTGTATATGTACCACACCTTCTTTATCCATTCATCTACTGATGGACACTTATGTTGTTTTCATTTCTTGGCTATTGTAAATAGTGTTGCGATAAAAACATAGGGGTGCATATATCTTTTTGAAACTGGGCTCCTGAATTCTTAGGGTAAATTCTAGGAGTGAAATTCCTGGGTCAAATGGTATTTCTATTTTCAGTTTTTTGAGGAACCTCCATACTGCTTTCCACAATGGTTGAACTAATTTACATTCCCACCAGCAGTGTAGGAGGGTTCCCCTTTCTCCACATCCTTGCCAACATTTGTTGTTGTTTGTCTTTTGGTTGGTGGC